CAGTGGTTGAGTGTGGTTGATTTTGTTGTACTCTTGTTAATAGGCAAGTTTGCTGTTCTTGGTATTGAGGTTGAAATTTATATAGAGATTATTAGTTTGGTCAAGCTTTATATTTTGGTTTAGTTTGAAGGTCAGCGTGTATGACGAGACCCCAACTGCAGCAAACCATCTTTCATTTGCATGTTTAAATTTTTACAAACGATTTTATTAAACATGTCAGTAGTGGCGAACTAACGGTTTTACCTCACTTGGGGCGTTTTTTCCCCATAAGAATAACATGGGGATCATTTTTTGGCCACCAAAACCAAAAATTCTTATCTTTGCCTAAATATCCCTATATACTTGTCAAACCTTATTTCTTACTTATTCCCCATAAATAAATTCAATATTAAGCTAAAAAAGCTATTTCTTACAATTGACCCTTACAAGTTTAAATGTAGAGTAGTGGCACTATAAGGGTATGACGGCACTTTAGGCACGTTTTCCCCATAAGAATAACATGGTGGGCGTTTTTTGGCCACCAATCCTAAAAATCCTGCCCACGGCCTATACTCCTATATAAATGTTAAATACCATTGTACAACTTTATTATTTTTGGAATTGGTGGCCAAAAAATGATCCCCATGTTATTCTTATGGGGAAAAACGCCTAAAGTGGGGTAAAACCGCTAGTTCACCACTACTCATGTCTGATTTATTTAATATAAAAACATTTAGCTTAACGACCACTTACATGTTCTTCTAAATATATGGAAGGAAATGAATTGTTGTTTAAGCTAAAACCACCTACAAATATGTGCATAAAAATATCAACCATGTATCAACCATATATCAACTACAGAATTACTTTATTTCCTATAGTGCACTGAAATAAAAAAAATGGTCCCAGATGTTATAGTATATTTCATAACAAGAGTAGAAAGTGAGTCATTACATATTTGAGATCATGTTTGAAGTGCGAGATTCATCCCACAGCTGTCACCATAACTTTTAAAAACACGAGGAATTGACATTTTTACACACACGGCATCAATCCAATTAGGTTATTTAGCAAGGGGGCACTGTATTTTATTTTCGGATACAACAAGTAGCATAACCACCTTACTTTTATTTATTTGAATGAAATGCATCCAAAAATCACAAAGTTTCAGCCTGGAAACGCCCGGATCCGGGCAGCTAGTGTGAAAGGGCCTTGCGGGTCGCCCCGCATCGACGGTGCGGGACGGTGCCGCACCGCGCTAGTGTGAAAGAAGGCTAAGTATGCTTATATAAGTATAGTTTATATCTTGTATTTCCATAGCTATGTAGGTACATAAAATATTTATAAAATACGAAATCCTTAAACATATCAGCATAGGTCGAGTTTGGTATCAAATTAATGGTCTCTGTTAGTAAAACACAATGCCACAAACAATAACTCAAACGGACAATGGAGTCAAATATGACAGCTGTTCAAAGATTACTTGAATTTGCAAAAATTGTACTGTGGAGCGCCCGCTAGAAGTCGGAAGAAAATCATAAACATGAGCATAGGTTGATATGCACATCACATTTAAATTCCTTATTTGTAGAATACAATGCCACAAATTTGAGCTCAAAATAACAGCTTGTTAAAAAATGGCAGCCGTTCAAAGATTCAAAATGGCTGTTGAAATATAATTTGTGAGAATAGTTCATTTTAGTATCACATGTGTTCTGTATAAGTTAGTTGTCATGGATACCAGATGTTGCTTTGTGGAAGGTTATTTTGTGTTTTATTAAAAACTTGTACCTAATATGGCTAAAATATGATCAACTATTATTGCGTGATGCGATTTAAAAATTAAGGCCCGATCACAATGAGCTCCGCTCAAAAAAAGCAAAAAGTTAACAAGTAATGCAAAAGAATATGGGATAGTTAAGTAGTCAGGCTAGCTGGGCAAACCAAAGCTGGTAATCAGATAAGAAAGCTCACTGAAGATAAGACAACCTTCCTCATTGACGGACCTCAGTGTTTTAGAGGGTTGCACCCTGTAAAACTCGCACAACATTCACTATTCGGCAGCTAGGAAAACCCGCCTTCAGTTTAATTATATACGTTATCTATCAAATACGAATCAGCTTTTTAGGAGGGATTGTATGTTTGCAAACTGCCACTGAATTGTTTGAGGTATGAGCATTTTTAGCGAATTTCCCATATTGGGAATAAGCTATTACCGTGGGTCTCATGGTAAGACCTAGACCCAGGAGCGATTTTCTTTTTTGTTTTGAGGTCCGTAGAGGTCAAAAACACCCTCCGTTCAAATTCATATATATATGTGTGTGTGTTCATTAGCGAGATAACTCAAGCAAAAATAATCAGATTTTGATGAAATTTGGTACAAAAGTGTAAATCTACGTTTATTTGAACAAGTTCGCAAACCAGCATGATCAGACAATGGCAACCGGGTTTTATGGGGTAAAAATTGGGTTTTCCCATTTTTGAACCCAAAGACACTAAATTTCTAAATTTCTTTCCTAACCATTTTGTAGAGCAGGGGCGGCGGAAGCAAAATTTTGTTAGGGGGTCAGAAACCTATGGTGGAGGTCCACATCCGGGGGGTCTGGGGGGTATGGAATACCCCCGGAAAAATTTTGAAAAATAAAAGCCTTAAAACGTGTTTTTAGGCTACCTGAAGAACATTTTTCTTCAAGCAGTAACAAAGAAAATTTACAATTTAACAAAGACGCTACTCTGTTCATTGTAAAAACATTATAATAAATAATACACATACATCTCAAACAAACATAAAATGAAGTACTGGTGCCCAGATTTTACTAAAGCTGCCAGCAATGAGTTGCTGCAGACGACAGAGAAGAGTAAATTTTACAATTACATTTATGAATCACTCAGTAACGGTAAATTTCGATGCAACATTACTGAAAGTTATGTTTTGCTTCTCACTCTCAGAGTATTCCAAAGATATCTAATGTTTCAATCCATGTTTACAAGCTCTAGGCCCTAGGGATTTATGTGTTCGCGTAATTTCAGCAGGCTCTGCCCCTCCCCCTCAAAACTGAATTAATAATAAGTTAAATTAAAATTGGCTGCTTGATTATAGTTAATCACAAAAGTAAGACGGTATGGTATAACCAAGTAAGTGTGTCCACTGGGGATAAATAATGGTTTACACAAAAAACATTACAAACATTGTATTGGCACAACATAAAATTACTAAGAAATACAAAACCTTTTTGATGAATTATTGCTAAAATAAGTAAAATCCCACACGAGAATCTCAAGATATTAGCCTACTACAAGTTAACTAGATTTTTAAACTTCTGCTGATGAAACTTCAGTAGGCCCTAACTTGAACTTCAGTCTTTGAAATTCCCGAAAACTGCACAGCGACTTTCAACTCTATTGACAAACATTCTTGCAATGTGCTTATCATCAATAGATTTAGCAATGTCCCTATGGACGGATAAGATTGCAAGATGGTTCAATCTCTTCTGCGTCATCGTGGAACGCAGCCACGTTTTCAAGCGACGAAGACAAGAAAAGGTTCTTTCTGCAGTTGCTGCAGACGCTGGTAAGACAAGCAGTAACTTGACAACCTTTACTACTTCAGACAAAAATTGTTTGTTTTCTTGAGGCTCACTATTTAAAGTCACAACTAAATCACGTACACTTTTCACTTCCTTCTTTTTTGGTAAATCTTGTAGACTCTTTAATTGGCTTGTAAGCTTTTTCTTGTCCAAGTCAGTTTTAAAATGGTCACATATATTGTCCACTTCAATTTTTACTTCTTCTGTCTTCCCGTTTACTGCTTTCATTAAAACAGTTTCAATGTCTCTGTATATTTTGACTCCGGGATGTTGAAATCTATAATCAATGTCTGACTTTAAGTTGTCCAAAACGTCGAAGTACTGTTTCCTCAAATAAGTCTCTGGACCGGAGAACGTCACTGGTGGGGAAGCATCACTTTTCTGTTCTAGTCGTTTTGGAGGCGCTCGAACACGTGGAAGAGTGACCGGGAGTAAATCCATATCTGCCCCTCGTTTCTTCACTTTCTCCCATAGTTCGTTAAACTTCTCATCGGTTCTCAACTTTGTTAAACGTTGTTTAACTCTGTCAACTTGGGCTAAGGCATCAACATTTCAATAAAAAAAAAAATACCTCAATATCTTCCCTGTGCCAGCAAACCTAATGTTATTTAAATAGGAAATTTTGACAGTTTTAAGGGAATATTTTAGTAGAAATCCAGCCAGGTATATGAAATTTTGCTTAGTTGCAGGTTTGCTGTGGCGGGGGTATTTTTAAATATTAATAATATGTAATACCATTGAGATAGTTTTAAGAGTTGCTGGTTGCTTAATGCAATTAATTGTCACATTTAAAACGCTGTTTTCTTTTTATCACTACACTTAAAAAAATTATCTACACTTAAAAAAAATACTTGTTTGATTGGGCAATGGCCGAAGGTATGAGTAAGTTAATTCTAACTAGCTACTTTCTGTTACTACTCACGATAAATTTCTCTTCAAAATAATCAGAATAGCAAAAAAACTAGTGATTACTTATAACCCAGTAATAAATGGGAACAATATCAAATTGATGGAAAATATTAACTTTGTTTGTGTTATTGGAAAATGCTATTTTGTCCAATAACTTTCCTTTCAGTTTTTCTATAACCCGAAATCTAACTCATTGCAAAAGCAAATAACATTATTTTAGACATTAACACAGGTTCATTGTTACAAAACTGATTTTTTTTTACCAGCTAGCCCCAAGTTTAAAAAATACAATCTCTAACAATCTCTAAATCAGAGGAATTGGATGTCTAAGAAAAACTAACTCTGAAATAATATTAGGAAGTAAACCAATGAAATTTAAATAGTGTAACGTGTGATTTGTAACGTAAAACTTAAACGATTCTCAAAAGTTTGACCTATTGGTTTCATTAGTACCAGCAAAAAAGAAAAAAATAGTGAACACCTTTTATAAGTAACACCAATAAAAATGTATTCTATAATTTTCAGGCAAGGACTGTTTTAGAAATAATGACTTCTTTTGAAAAACTAGTAGAATTGTTACAAGATTTCTGGATTGTATATGAAGAGCTTAAAAGGAGCACTTGGATAGTTGATCCTGAAAATCCTCGCCTAAAAGATACTCATTGCAGGATCGTTGTTGGTAAGATTGTATATATAGGCTTTATGTGTTGTCTTGCAATTTAGTTGTGACTTACTAGGGCAATAGTCTTAAATTGTTCTGGAACACAATTTTATTGAATATATTATTAGTTTTATGAGTTACTGTAACTTGTGTGTATAGTTAAAAATTTGTAACATGTGAATCACACACAGTTGTATTGTACACAATCAATTCTTACAGTATGAATAGTTAAATTGAATATTGATAAAATAAAATAAAATAGATAAAAGTTTACAATTTCTCTACATATAAAAATCTGTGTTTTTTAGCCTCTGAGCTATAAGTTAAAAATTATGATTACCTTCATTCACTTAACATGTGTTACTAGATTCTACTATGTAGCAACATTTCAGTTTGTTCCAATCAAGTCAGTCCTAAAACATATGTTTGTGTGTTAAAAGAATAGGGCAATATCCTAACTACCTAAATTATCACAACTACTATAGTTCAGCCGCTTAGAAAACGACGTCCAGGCAACGAATGCTAAAAAAAGGGTATAGAGGGAAATGTTTGGAACACAATTTCTGACTTCGTAACTTTGTTTAGTATAGTTAGGAGGTTAACATACCAAAAGTCCCCGCCTCTAGCCCTTGTGCTGTGGGGGAGGGGGGGGCTTGAAGGTACCATTTTTCGGTTTTTTGCTAATATCTCGGAAACCATGCGTCCAAGCGAAATTATGCTAATACACAAAATGAAAGGTTATTAAATTTCCAGCAAGTTTGTAATTTACCATTTTTTTATATCTTCTATAGTTTTTGTGTTATTTGCCATCCAAAGTTTGTAAATTTGGAAAAATACATTTTTTTTCTCATGTTTGTTGTTCTTTTTGACAAGTTGCCTCTCAAACTATGCACCCAAAAAATAAATGCTGGGCATAGGGTTGTAGAGAATTAAATTCCCTTCAATAATATATATGACTTTACTAGATAACCTCCTTCCGTTCAGATTTTAAAGCAAATTAACCGTCAGTATAAAAAAATAAATTTAATTAAAATTTAAGAAAATTAAAATCTAGTGTTGAGCAAGGAATTTGAAGTCTTGCGACAGCTGTTGACTACTTAATATTTCAGTTTATCACCTTACAAAGTCAACTAATTGGTTGGTATATTCACTATCATGTAGCTAAGGTAAGTGATGGGAGTCTAAAAATAGCACAGATACACTATAGAAAAAATATACTTTGTGGGCTGCCTAACCAGCTTCCTCACACTTGATGATCTAGCTAGACTATTGTAATAGGAAAATATGGTGTTATAACCATGTTTAGGCATATAAGAGTGTCTATATGACACTGGAAACCAATCACAGCCATAAAATTGAAACCAAGACAATTGACATGTTTAAGTAGGAATTAACATAAAACATTACATTAGTGAGTAGCCTTAGCCTACTATTGAATCAATTCAGCCTTGCTATCTTAGTTTGGAAAGGACTACCATCATCATAATCGTTTTTATCCTCTCATTCTCTAAGAAAGGAGGTAAGGGACATCTTTTTCTGGCACCATAAACTATCTTAACAAGGATTAGATGATATTTTGAACGTGATTCTACTGGATGTGACAAAAAATCTTCAGCATTTGAGAAAAGCAAGGTTGCTTATGCGAAGTTGTATCTGAATTCCTCAGTGGCCCAAAATGCATCATCTGTCTTTCACGCCCCCTCTCCAACACCACCCAAATACAAAAGGTAGGGAAAACGTACATCTTGATTTGATATGGGCTTCAGCGAGAGAGGTATCGTGCACTTCAACTTCAATCTATACAGGTAGAAGTCAATTTTTAAATCGATGGTCTCCATCAAGCCTAATATCTCTTGTCTTCCTCCGACTGATGGTGCTTTCAAACATCGTTTCCTATCATGTACATTCCAAAAGTTTCGACTGTGGCTGGGAAATAACCTGCCTTCTCTTATGTAAGAGTGGAAAAGAATAATAAAAACTCTGTAGTAACAGAGTACACTCAGCATGAAACTACACTGAAGGATATCCTCAAAATTGTTTTCTGCCTATGCACATAAAACTGTACTCGTGCAAAATCAGGTAGCAAAAAAGCAAGCCTAAAATAAGTATGCCAAAAATGTCAAAATGTTGTCCCTGGGAAAGATGACTAAGAATATGAAGAAAAACAGTATACCAATATCCAAAATAGGTCCGATGGAGAAAAAAAGGATAAAAATGATGAGGATGGTAGTCCTTATTAAACTAAGATAGCAATGGATAGAATAGTAGGCTACTTACTGATGTAATTTTTTATATTAATTCATTCAAATATGTAATTTATCTTTGTTTAAGTTTAATGGTTGTGATTGGTTTCCAGTGTCATATAGACACTTTTATATGCATTAACATGGTTATAACACCATATTTTCCCATTACAATAGATCATCAAGTGTGAGGAAGCTGGTTAGGCAGCCCACAAGTATATTTTCTATAGGGTATCTGTGCCATTTTTAGACGCTCATCACTCACCTTAGCTACTTGATAGTGAATATTCCAACCAATTAGTAATGTAAGGCGATAAATTAAAATATATTAAGTAGTCAACAGCTGTTGGAAGACTTCAAATTCCTTGCTCAACACTAGATTTTAATTTTCTTAAATTTTAATTAAATTTAATTTTTTTATACTGACAGTTAATTTGCTTTAAAATCTGAACGGAAGGAGGTAAACTAGTAAATTCATATATATTATTGAAGGGAATTTAATTCTCTACAACCCTATGCCCAGTATTTATTTTTTGGGTGCATAGTTTGAGAGGCAACTTGTCAAAAAGAACAACAAACATGAGAAAAAAATGTATTTTTCCAAATTTACAAACTTTGGATGGCAAATAACACAAAAACTATAGAAGATATAAAAAAATGGTAAACTACAAACTTGCTGGAAATTTAATAACCTTTCATTTTGTATATTAGCATAATTTTGCTTGGACGCATGGTTTCCGAGATATTAGCAAAAAACCGAAAAATGGTACCTTCAAGCCCCCCCCTCCCCCACAGCACAAGGGCTAGAGGCGGGGACTTTTGGTATGTTAACCTCCTAACTATGCTAAACAAAGTTACGAAGTCAGAAATTGTGTTCCAAAAATTTCCCTCTATATCCTTTCGTTGCCTGGACTTATAGTAAAAGAATGGTAAAAGGTTGAAATCTATACAGGGTGATTGATCAGTGTGACAAAAATTTTTTGGTGTGAGTACAAAGTAAATGAAGTGTGATGATGCATATCAAAATGTTCCAAGTCTCAAAATTAGCTTCCCAAAAATTATTTGACGTTTTTCAAAAATAACCATGCTTTTAAACTTAATACAGCGATTTCTCAATTACCTGTATATGGATTTGAGTAGATAATGTCATTTTCGTGTTCTACATTAAATTTTGAACAAGAATAATGGAAAATGACGGAGGATCAGTTGTAAAAACTCCATTGTAAATAGATTCAAAGATAAAAATTAAGATATTTGATAAAAATTGTAAAAGCAATGGTCTATTGCATTTTTCACACCCTGTATACAAGAAAGTGTCGGAATATGTTAAAAACTGCGCCATTTTATAAGCTTTCCAACTATATGCTACACTATTGAGGTTTAGATATTTTTTTGTTTGTTTTAGTGGTTTGAATACCAGAAAACAGGGAACTTTTTTACTGTTTTTACTGTTCAAGCTGAAACAAAAATACAACTTTTGCTTACATGCCGACTTTATATGTTTCAAATGTTAAAGACACCATGCTTTGTAGTCTTCAAACCATTAACGCGTACATAAGCAGGCATAAACCTCAATAGTGTAGCATATGGTTGGAAAGCTTATAAAATGGCGCAGTTTTTAACATATTCCGACACTTTCTTGTATACAGGGTGTGAAAAATGCAATAGACCATTGTTTTTACAATTTTTATCAAATATCTTAATTTTTATCTTTGAATCTATTTACAATGGAGTTTTTACAACTGATCCTCCATCATTTTCCATTATTCTTGTTCAAAATTTAATGTAGAACACGAAAATGACATTATCTACTCAAATCCATATACAGGTAATTGAGAAATCGCTGTATTAAGTTTAAAAGCATGGTTATTTTTGAAAAACGTCAAATAATTTTTTGGGAAGCTAATTTTGAGACTTGGAACATTTAATATGCATCATCACACTTCATTTACTTTGTACTTACGCCAAAAAAATTTTGTCACACTGAGTACAAATCACCCTGTATAATCAATACGCAAACACAAAGTTTGTCGGTTGAACTCCTTTACCATTTCTTAACCGATTTTATCCATTGACGTCTCATTGGAAAGAGCGTGTCGCGTAGATTTGCAAACCGGCCTTACATTTTTTTTAAAGTCCCTTGGGCTCTGCCCCAGTGGCTTTGAAAGTTCCCATGTAATACTTATGAAGAACATAATTGTTTACATTTTGATCAGCTGTATAATTTAATTGCTGTTATTTATTTTTCAATTCAACGAAATGCATTGGGTACATTTACTGATTTTGTTGAAATTAAATATTTACTACTTTAATTTACATTCGTACATATTACAATGTAAAAAATCGAGAAAGCCTGGGCAATTTGATGTATTTTACCAAATAAGAAAAATGAGTTGACATGGTACTGTATTTCTTGAGCAATCATTGAAAGAACCGATTTTTGAACCATGGAAACATAGGAAAGTCATAGAACGCCACCAAGTAGAAGAAATAGAGATAAAAAAAACCATTTACCATTATCATCCTATACAATGAAGAACACCTACAATATGAAGATTCCCACAAACAATGAACAAGGAAGTTAGTCAAAGTTTTAAAATTTTTTAGGCAACACGTACTTAACTGTATGATGATTGGCAAAGGAAAAACACTTTAAGGCTGAATTAAACTGGTACGGGAAGGACATTAAATATGTTTTCATAAAAGTCAAGTGATTTAAAAATAATATGACTACATCCAAGAAACCTTAATAAAACTTCCACTGAAGGATTTGCA